TGCTCAGGCTCCGTGCGGAGCCCGAGACCCCCTGAGCCTGTCTACCTGCGAGCGCTGCTGCCGCCGCCGCGGCTCCGCCAAACTGCTGACTTTCCAGAGCTTATTTTTAGCCCGGAGACTAAATATTATTAGCTACATTTCTACGTAGGAAGAATCGGAAGCGCGGGGAGGGGTGGGGGGAGGCACTAGAGATAGGGAGGGAGATGAGCAGAAAGCTTATCCGAATGATCTCCAGTTGGGGGGGCTGCGTTTGGGTTTCAGCCTTGCCAAACGGGCGCACACACACACACACACCATTAATTATAGCAAAGTAGATGCGGATATTGGATCATCAGCAATACATGCACGGCTCTCCCTTCGAGCCGTAGGTTGCGTACACGGAGGGGTCAGCTAATCTCCGTGTAGGTAAAGATCAGCTGCGTCCCTTTATCTGTGAAAGATCAGTCCTGCACAGTGCCAGCTAGAGCTCAGCTGCATCTCTTTAGCTATGCAAAATCAACTTGCATCCTTAGCCAGGGAAAAAAAAAATCCGTCGCATCTGCTTCTTTTGGTTGCATCTCTGCCGAAAGCATGCACACACACAGAGACGAGATTCCCAGGTTAAATCAGGCGCAACTTAAGTTAACTCGTAGTTAAATCTCATCCAGCTTTTCCTTCCTTCCTCCTCTAGCCCTCACACACCAAGCAGCCAGCAAGGTAACAAACTAGGCGAAGAGCAGGCACCCATCCCCGCACCACAGAGAGGGAGAGGCAGGAGCCAGAGGGGCCCCCGGGGGTATCCCCCCTGTGCTTACCTTGGTTACAGCTAACACCACGAGCAGTGGCTAGATCGCGGAGATAAATACTGGCATTTCCCAAAGTTGACACCGTCAAACCAACCCCCGGAGCTTGCAAGACTCTTTTTTTTTTTTTTTTTATATCCCTCCTCTCTTGTTCCTATTCCAGTCCGCACCGCTAGGAATTCAACTTCGCCCAGCTCCAGCTGGGGCGAGAGGGCGGCGGGCGGGGAGGGAGGGGAGGAGAGGGGAGTGGAAGCAGCACCGGGGCTCGGCGGGGGAGGGCAGCCGGCACTCGGCGCCCGCCGGGTCGCGGAGCACTGCGGAGCCGGCCCCGCCGCCGCTGTCCAGGGTGCTGCCGGTGCCGCCGCCGGTGCCGCCGCCTCCCCGCGCCGCTCCCCGCCCCCTCCGGGGCAGCCCCGAGCCCCCGGCCCCCCCGGTGCCCGCCGAGGGACGGGCGGCAGAGCGCCCGGCCGCCGCAAGCTGCAAGTTTGTGGCTCAGACGCGCCGTTTACATCGCAGCCCTAAATCAAAGAGCGCCGCAATTAAAGTTACACCGTCTAAAGCACAATTCTGCCGGCCTCCGCGGGTTACGCTCTTTGGCGTATTAAGTACTAGAAAGCCGAGCCCGTGATATCAGATCCTGTCGTTAAGCAGCATCTCGAGCTCTTTTGGTGTAGTTGTTTTGTTCCTCTCTCGCCGGGTATTAAAAATAAGCTTTTTTTTGTAGGTACTCACCATTGTTTCTTTGCTGTCCTGGAGACAGAAGTGGTTTAAAATCCAGTCTCTCCAACAGATGCTGGAAGGTAATGTGTCTTGTTTGAAGTCATCATGTGAGAACTTCTGCTTTGCTCAGTGGATCGCCCACCACTTGGTGTGACTTATGAATCTAATAACCCTTTGCAATATCCGCAAGCTTAAACTCTCCACCACCTTGGTGCCTACAGAAGACAGAAAGCAACTGGCAGGGAGTTTTAAAAACCTATAGATTTACGCAAACGCCTTAGCTCAGAGTCACGTTTCCCTCCGAGTTCTTACGTGATCTTAATGAATGAGAGGGGTTACCAACCAATACAGTATAAAACGTGATCGCAGCCGCCTCCCAGGAAACCGGAGCGGGACACCAAGTTCCCGAGCGCAGTCCTGGCCGGCCGGGCGCACTGCGCACCAAGCCCTGACTCCCACCGCCCTCCTTCCACCTCCCGGGGCCGCGCACGGCCAGCCGGCTCTGCGGATTTACGCTCGGGACAGGTAAGTCGGCGTTTGGGGGGCTGTTTGCTCGTTTGTTCGTTTGAGTGGCACGTTCACCGCGCTCTCACGGGAAGTGCTCCAGGGACTTGTTGCATACTAGGTCCTGCCACAAGAGGAGCGTGGCACAGTTGCCAAGACGAGTTCCTTTCCGAAACCCCTGCCTTTCCCGAGCTGCAACTTCCCGCACGCCTCTCCTCCCCCTCCTCCCTCCGCCCTCGCCGGGAGGCGCATCCCGGGGGCGGGATGCTCGGCCGGCCGGCTCCGAGCCCCTGCCGCCGCCGAGGCACAGCTCGGGAGGGGAGGGCAGCGCATCATCCCCGGCTCCTGCCTTTGCTCTCCCCCCTTCCCCCCCAGCAGCGCCCCGGCTCCGCCCGTGATTTCTCTGGCCAAGCCAATTCCGGTCTGCGTGCGCTGCGAGAACGCCCGCACACCTGGGCGCCACTGCAGCCCCTTTCCCCGAGAGAGGCGGCCGAGCCCCAGGGTCACTCCTGCCCAGGCTCACGAGTACCTGTCCCCATCTTGTCTTGGCATCTGGGGTTTATTCCCAGCGGCTGCCCCGCCTCCCCGGCTCCGAGAGCCCCGCAGGAGCGGTGCGGGAAGGGCTGTGGGAAGTGGTGGGGAGGGTTCCTGCGCTTCCAAGGCGAATTGCAGTCAACTGAACCTGGACTTGCCAAAGTTTATGGGCGCTGCCTCTCATAAGGAAAAAAAGAGACCAAGACCGAGGAGCTCCTCGTCTGCTCCCGTTCTCTCCTGACTGAGTGCTGGAATTACACTGACGGGTCATTTCTCTCCCAAGAGCCCGTTCCTCCCGCCCCCCAGCCCCAGGTACCTCCGCCTGGGAGCCAAAGCAAGCAGCCTCTTCCATGACAACCATCTATGTTGATCCATGCAATAACCAGCAGATGCTGCCCTAAGACTGGTACAGCTGGTACTTTCCTGCCTCGGCTGTCCTGGGCACAAGGTGTTAGAAGAAAAGTCAAAGTGGCATCCAGCAAAGCTGCCCTGAGGAGAGGCACGGCAGCCCCTCAGTGCATCACACCCTGCCCGTGTGCCATGTGCAGGCAGAGCCTGCTGCTGCTGGTGTAACCCTGCACCCGGCACATCACCCTGCCGCTGACACCCGGTGTCACTCGAGACACCTCCTCAAGGGCTGAGCCCCAGGCAGGAAGCTGAAGTTTTCCCCCAACAGTTGGCAGTACTCATAGTGAGTGTTAATACTGGTCAGGAACACCAGTTTTAAGTGGCATTAAAGTTGAAAAAAAACCCCAAACCTAAGTGTTTCAACAAGTGGTAAGACTGCAATGAGTTCAGCTTTCTCCCACATTCTTCTAAGCAATTTGCTCCTGCCTCTTCCTCAGGGGAATAAAATAATTTGGTAGTATCTGCTTTGGGTAGTAAGTTGCACAATTCATGTTTTGACTACATAAACACATATCTAAATCTTAAAGGTTTCTGACCCTGTGGAGTCCTCAGTGTTTTATAGAGAGAACTTCACAAAGTTATCATTTCTACATACTTATTTTAGAGCTCAAGAAACATAGTCTTTGATTGAGAAAGCAATTCCCTCTGTAGCACTTGTAAGAAAGTACTTTGCAAGTGCTGTTTCTCCCCCACTCCTCATTTCACTTACTTCTAGGTATCCTCATTTTCTGATGAAGGTCTCAGTTGTTAAGAGATGCCCAGGAGAAACCTTTGGGGGATCGTAGTACCATGTTGATGTAATAACATTAAATTTACAACACAAAAATCCTTCCACAAAGCTTCCCCCTGAGGTCCAGAGCAGGAAGTAGCCTGGTGTCATTTCAGCCCTGTGCAGATGCATTTTCTACAGGAGACTGATGGGGTTACCACCAGTGATGAGGCAGGGAGAACTTGTGTTTGCTGGGGGTACCACGTGGGACAGAGCCACAAGCAAAGTCACTTCTTTGGACAGCTAACTAGGAGAGCTCCTGGTCAGTATTCCTGCTGAAGGACAGGACTCCACCCACCTCCCTGGGGATAGGTGACAACTGATAACACACACATCACATCTCATTCTCAATAGACCAAATTAAGCATGTGTTTGCTGAAGGGCTTGCTTTAGATAGTGTCAGTGTAATCAATGAAATAAACGGGGCTGCAATCAAGGGAGTGGTACAAAAGTCTATAGAAAAACAAAAGGTTATTGCTAGGGTAATAGGGGGTGCTATATGGAGAATGGGAGTTGCCTGGGAGAAGATGAGTAGGAGGAGGCAGTATGAAACAATCAGAGTTCTTTCCTTGTAGTGGCGCTCACAGGTGAGAGAACAGCCCAGGACATTCTGCTGGGCCAGAGCTGAAGTGGAGACACCAGTCAATGCACCAGTCAATCCTCTGTCAGGGATTCCTGCAAGAAGGGCATTAGAAAGGGGATGACTAGAATTAAACCTAAATGCCTGTTGAGTTTCAAGGCATTTCCTTTCCCTGTGTCTTGTTTCCAGCTACGTTTTCTTGTTTTTTTTTTTTTTTTTCTCTTGAAGACCTTATCCCCAGGCCATGGGAGACCCAGCCATAAAAAAATCACTGGATCTAAGTTGGTGTGGAGGGCTTTTTTCCTTAATACCATAGAGGGGCACAAGTGACTCAAAGTTACTCACCTGACAAGTCATACACTTCAGTAAAAGCTGGAGCAGTGAGTAGAGCTTAGCCCATTATTTCAAACTAATAATCAGGTGGTCTGTTTCCAGGCTGTTGAAACAGAATAGCTGCTAGCATTTGCCAGAATGACACGGCACAGCATTGGCGGCATGCAGGTAGTTCATACATATAAGGCAATGTACATCTCTTGTTCCAAGTCTGTTTATCTTGGAATCACATTGTTACCAGATGAAGTATACAGCTGCAGGACCTGCCTTCAGTGGGGACTACTCCTACGTAAATAGTGACAGAACTGTTTAGCAGATGAGGCCTAATTAAATGGGAATCAGCCATACATTTTCCTTCTCTTAGACAAAACAAAGGGAAGAATCCTGCTGGAGCATTGCTAGAAAGTCACAGTGCCTTGAATCAACTTGTGAAGCATCCCAAAATCCTAAGCAAGCTGCAAATGCTCTTTCCCTGCCTTAAAACACCTTAGAAAATGATGAGCTGTTACTGGTTGGCTTTTTCATACAGTTGAAAGACTACCAAAATACGTGGATAACTGCTAAGTACCTAACTGCTAAGGTGCTAAAAGACACCTTCCATTCATTATGTACAGCTGCTCCCTCAGGGACCACTGAAAACCTGCCTGAGCCACCAACATTAGCAATCTGAGCAGAATCAGAGGAGATAGCTGTCAACTTCACAGAGATGCTTCTGAAATAAGAGCTGCGTGACATCATCGCTGGTGTGAAACCGGGGCTGCCAGCTTCTCTCCATGCCAAAAATCTAATGGTGTGTTTGCAAGAAAGGTCCCCCAGGGTTATGGTGTGCTAGTTCTGCTGGTAACCTCCTGCTTCTCCAACAGGCGGATTTGGCACCTGCCCTGCTACTGCCTGGAGGGTAAATACCAGCCTCCCAGTAGGTATTTAGGGTAGCCTCCCATCGAGTGTTGATTTTCTGTGCCTGATTTCCTCCTCCTGCAGATTATCCTGCTCTGATATTTCCATCTTTCCCCTGATCTTCGCGCTGCAAGTGTTAGCAGTCTTTCACTCTGCCTCCTCCCTCCCTGGAAGTTTTCCTTTCTTTCTGAGCCTACTTGTCTTCAAAGTGCGTATATTCCATGCTGGTAACATGCAGATGAGCATCGTAGTCATGATCCCACTCAGATACTAAACAAGCCTCCCACCAATGCCTTGTCCTCCTTTAGAGTGCTGGAACATTTCAGCTTGCTTTCAGTCTCCTGCAAGCAGCAGGAAATCCTCTGGAGCAGACAGGCAGCAGCACACGTGCTCGCTGTGGTTGTACCTCCGAGGAGGGCTCGGCACCGACTCCTCTCCAAGTGTCTGCGGGGAAGGGAGGCTGAGATCCCCACAGGAATCCCACAGAGCCTGGGCTCCAACCCTCCTCAGCCCACAAGAGAAGGGCTTCAGTGTCACCATCAACGGGAGGTACCCTGCACATTTTTTAACATCACAAACTGCGCCGAGCTCACATTCACATTTGGTAAGAGAGGAGAGCTCAGTGTGCTTAAGGAAAGCCAGCCCTGCTACAAGCCAGGATAAATCAGGGTTTCCATCATCCACAGTGTCTGAAGCAAATACCCTGGGACAGATGCCTTGGCCGGCATTCCTGATCTGTGCAAGCAGCAGCACAGGTTACAGAGGCAGGACATGCATCAGGGCTGTCAGCTTTGAGCCAGCCACCAATCCTGGGGAAATCCTCTGTCCTGCACTTTCAGCTGTCCATAGGTGCATCCCTCTCACAGGGAAGTGGGATTGTAACAGGACTTCAAGGACAAGTCTGAGAGTTTTGCTTCAATTAATTATTTGCCATCAGCTTATAGCAAAAAAGTACTGTTGTAGAAAAGTTTTGCCAAAACTATTTCTGTCATTTATGGAAAAGGTGTGTTTTAGGAAACCTTCTAGAATTAAAGTTTTGTTTTTCTCAAACTACCACACATGCAAACGTAGTTCAGTACTTGCGAGGCACTCATTTAGGTTAGCTGGAAAAGACAGGAGATTAGATAAATGTAATGGAAACTATTGGCCCATGTAAGTTCTCCTGCCTGACCTGAGCAAAATGAGACACCGGGTATCTCTTACGAGAAGAAAACCAGAGATAGGGAGAGAAATCAGAACCTGGAGAAAAAGAAACATGACAGCTGTAATCTGTTACTATTGCAATCTGATTATAGGATTCATTGACAAGGTGGGGGACCCTTTCTTTTGGCATTAAAGTCTACACCTTGCTTCATGTAACCACAAGAAAAACATCTCCAGGCATCAACCTTTAAAAGAGATTCTTTCTTCAACCTTCTTTAAAGAGAAAACATACAGCATGACTATGAACAAAATAAGCTACACCCCTGCTTCGTCATAATTTTAAATTTTGGTACATGC